TTCGCTACCTCCGTAATGAGTCCCGCTCATTACTGGGGAATAAACTTTACTTTAAAATGTCTTGGTAGTCAGTTTCCTGTGCCTCAAACCTTACAGTACCAACATCGAATAATGGGGGTACCAGAAGAAGAGAGAGAGCAAGATTCTGAAAACCTATTTGAAGAAATAAAGACTGAAAACTTCCCCCACCTGGTGAAAGAAATAGACTTACAAGTCCAGGAAGTACACAGAACCCCAAACAAAAAGAATCCAAAGAGGACCACACCAAGACACATAATTAAAATGCCAAGGGTAAAGGACAAAGAGAAAAGCAGCAAGAGAAAAACAGTTGGTTACCTACAAGGGAGCACCCATACAATTGTCAACTAATTTCTCAATAGAAACTATGCAATGACAAGACGGGAATGACAAGAAATATGTGTCCAGCTCCACATAAAAGCAGAGTCCTGAGTGAAGGAGGAGAGTTTTCTAATTCCGTTTAGCTGAAGTTCCTCTGACTCCCAATGCCTTTCAAAAATATCTTTCGTCCTTGGACTCCTTAATCATCTACATGCAGCACCTTTCTCCAGAATGCTGAACCACTGTAATGTAAATATCTGTGTTTTCTGATGGTCTTAGGCTCTATAGTAGCGGTTCTCAACCTGTGGGTCACCTGGGAAACTTTATAACATCCTGATGTGCATGCCATATCCCAGACCAATGAAATCACTGGGGTGATGGAATCTGATTTTATTGGGTAACCAAGATTAAGAATGACTCACAAACCAGTCCATTAATGATACTCCCAACCCAATCCCTCTTTCTCCTCTACTGGAATTTTCCTGAACCCAATTGGTAACTGTGCTGATTTATTTTAAGTTCACATCCTCAACTTGATAAGCATGGCTCAGCAACCTGCTCAATGCAACCAATATGTACTAGGCATCTGGGCTGGGCCAGGCCCTGACCTAAAAAGCACAGACACTGTCCCCATTGTGAATAAGTTCATGGTCTTTGGTGAACTGATCATGAACACTTCCTGTTGATTGAAGAGTTTCTAAACAAAGAATTTCACAGACTTAAAAAGAGGGGATGAGGGTTGTGGTGAAATGGGCATTTCAGGAATAGAGGAAAATATGTGCAAATCTTTTACTCATCCTTGCTCCAGTGAGTCTCGGGCTGGTCTCTAAAAAAAGCAACATAGCATTGTTAAAAATGCTAATTCTTGGATCCCACTCCAAGGAATCAGAACTGGGGGTGGGATCATCTCAAGGTGATTTTAGAATTTACTAAAGTTTGAGAAGTGTTAGTGTCCTTCAGTCAGGTTTTGTAATTCCGGGGTTCTTTGCCCAGCCTTACAAAGGGTTCAGCTTTTATTCACACCAGTTTACCTTAGGCAAATATATACTTCAAAAGGTAAGCTATCAAAGGGTAGAATACAAAAGCATTATCAGTTTGGGGAATAGCCTACAAATATTCAGATGTTTGGCCAACAGGAGGCAATAAAATGCCCTGAGCTGTCTGGCAGTTAACAATCCTATTCAGGTTTGGGGAAAGTGCCATTTAGCCATTTCCCACAGATAAACTACATTTGATTCAACCCTGTTGAGCTCCCCAAGCTTTGGTGAAACTCTTGTAATTATTACATGCTGTAATTGGGTCTCAGCAGAGAAGCACTTCTCTCAAATGCTAAAATCTTCTCTTTATTCACTCTTAGAAAATGACCACCCTAAAAGAGAGGCCATTACTCAACTATTTCTTCTATCTCCTTTGCTCGCAATTACTCCCTGGCTCTCTACTGACTTGCCACCAACTCTAAAAGAAATAACTCAATTGTATTAAAGATTGTCAGTGATTTATCTGCCAGTTGTAGTGACTTTTCTATAGTTTTATTTACTTTTGCCTTGTTGGTAAGTGTGCTATTCTTGAAATTCTTTTATCTCTTAGTGTGTAGGAACTGTATTTTTGACTCCTGGTCCTTTTCTATTTTATTTCTCCAGGTAATTTCTTTTTGTATGTACATTATAAAAAATTAAATACAGTCCACAATAAAAAATTCAATGCTTTCACTCCCCAGAGACACACTGAACTTTTCTTAATTCTAGAGATATAAGCTAAATGTTATGCTGATAAGCCATTTTTTAAATTTATCATCTTTAAAAAAATATTTTATTGATTTTTATTTAGAGGAAAGTGGGAAGAGAAAGGGAGAGGGAGAGAGAAACATTGATTGACTGTCTCTGGCACATACTCCAACTGGGGACTGACCCTAAAACCTGGGCATGTGGACTGATGGGGAATCAAACCAGCGGCTATTCAGTGAACCAGTATTGATGAAGTTTAATGTGGCAGGCAGGGTGGATGTTGACATAAAAAAGCTGCCGATGGCTTAGGTTACCCTATTTATTTCTCACAAGAGGTTCCCCCCTCCGCCCTCCCATCCCACTGGCAACACGTTTCTTATGCCTGGTGGACTTCTCTCCACCTAGAGGTCCCAAACTGAAATGTTCTCTTCTCTCCCAGCACATTCTTCCTGAATTTCCTAGATTGGTCAATGCTCCCTCAATCCACCTAATTTCCAATGCTCTAAAGTGTTTGGAAAATCTCTTTCAGAACCCAGAACAAGTCTCACAGTTTTCTTTGGTGATAAAAATCCCTCAAATGTTCTTTTATCCTCTATGTAGGTACTAAAAAAAATAAAGAGTGAAAGAAAAGTTTTTTTTCCTTTTAGCAGAGAGCCTGAATTACTAGATTTTATCCAAAACAATTCTACAGTACTTTTATAGACAAAAGAGCTGAAGTGACAAATTACCAAATCACAGAAGCAAATATAATTGGAAATATTTTCAATGACCCCTCATAGCCAAATCAACCACCAGTGACCAATCTATAACTGGGAATAAGGAACCATCAGACTTGAAGGTTATGGATATCTACCTCCTTATTACATCTGGAGATGGCAATTTAAACTGTGAGAAGCTTCCAGAAGTGCTGGTGGACTCTTCCCCTCTTTCCCCCCCTTCTTCACCCTACAGTCTGTTGACCCAGACCTTGATCTTCCCTGTGCAATTAGTAGTTGCTGACTGCTTCACAGATACACTGGCAATAATCTTTTTCACATCGTCAGACACAATTATCTGGCTTTCCCTACGGATCTGTCAATAGGCTGGCTCCTCTGATAGTATAAACAATTACCTAGTGACAAGTGAGCTGTGAGCATTGGATTGCTGGTACTACTTGCACTCCATTTTAATTAAAGCAAATACTCTAGACAAGGGAAAGGTGTCTGATGCAGAACACGAGAGCCTCCTGGGCTTTGTGTCTAAAGCCTTTGGCAGCACATATGCTCCCTACTCTTAACTGTGCACATTACACTGTCAAAGCCCAAAGGATTCCCTTGAGCTTTTAATAACACGTGTTAAAAAAAAAAATAACACCAACTCATGTGATTCATGCAAGAGAATATCATTTTCTTCTTAAAATACAGACCTAGAAAAAATAAGGAATTCCTTTAAGAGTGTGCTCATAGTGACAACTTGGCTAAATGGAGTGCTAATTCCGCATGGGCAAGCATGAGTTCATTTTCATGCAAGATGCTTTTTATAGTGAAAGTTACACTTGTGAATTGTGTCCCCATTTCCTTGTGAAGAAGGTGGAGCTGGGCACATAATATCAGTGTATGAAAATAGCAATACTTAGCAGATCTTGTTAAGGGGGACACTTTTTTGTCTTGGCATAGTTATCATCTGAAATAACGTCCTCTTACTAGTAAAATTCAGTACCTAACCAACAGTCCACAGCTCTTAGGCTGAAGAGTTGCACTTGTGGGGCCTCTCAGGGTCAGCCTAACTTGAAGGGAAAGCGAGCACAGTGAGCAGAAAGGGAAGGGCTTGGGGGCGCTGACAACTGGCAGAGGGAGGAATGGGAGGTGACCATGTAAGTTTTCACTGAGAGTGGGGACACGGAGGAAAGGGGAAGCCGACTCTACAGCCAGTCCACATCGTGTTTCGGTTTGTGCTCAACAGGAACTTGGGGACCCAAACCACTGAATGAATAGGTCGTTGATCATGTGAACTCCCTTGAAACTGATGGTATTTTTATGATTCTTTGCATACAGGCTGAAAGCCATATACTTTTCCCAATGCCTATTTTGGCACTTTGGACTTGGATCATTGAGAGTTAAATTCCACAGATTGGTCTCCCAGAAGTAACGGTTTTTCAATTTAAACTTATTTTAGGGCTAGAATGATCGGAGGAGCTGGTTAGCCTTCTCTCTCAGGTACACCATGGTGGGTTTTATTCTTCTTACCTATAAACCATTGAATACTACTTCTGCAGAAGTATGGTAGTTATGATCATACATTTCGGGGAAACGCTTTAACGAAAACTCACTGCCATTATACTGCCTCTCACTCACTGCATATCAACCTCAGACACATTTGAAGCGCTGAGAATCTAAGAAGAGGTAATTAATAGCACACCTGATTTTCTCTTCCTGGTATATGTCCCTGTGCCTCTGGACAATACTCTTGAGGACCACAGCTGATAAATACTTGCCTGCCTTAGTTGATGACTACCATGCAGTGAGAATGTAACAGTGTCGGCAATCACTTCAGGTACTGGAAAAAGAGCATTGTATTTCTCCCTTCTTTTAATGGAAGAAATAGCACTTGGGCAGTTCAGTAACAGTTTTGGGGCAGAAGAAAAGAAATCATTTCCTATTCCTTGCAAACCCTGATGTACAAAAGAACGCTAGAAGCCAAAAGCTTCATTGATTTAGCACGTGAAGCAAAGAGTAATTTTTCTCCTCTTGTTATGCTTTCATATAATCATGCTCACTGCCTGTATGGGTGGCATTAAAGAATTTCTGAATTAAAATAATAAGTTCTTGCTTTCAACCTTCATAATTCGCATCAGCAAGCACCCCGCTGGGCAGTGATGCTTACTGCCAGTGACGCTCAATCTTTTCTGCACGCCACTTATCTGCCCCCAGCAGCTGTGTGCTCCTTTGATTGCAGTACCTGCAGGATAATGCGCCCATAGGCGTTCTTCAGCAGATTAACCACGTCCGCGTGAGACAGCCCATCCAAAGGTTGCCCATTGATGCTGACAATCCGATCTCCAACCTGGAGGTACAAAAGTGGGAGGAAATCACTATCATTAAGAAAAATTAAATTTGAGAAGAATGCTTAACATTCATTGGAAGTCATATTCCCCATTTGTGGCCATTGTGAAGGTTCCGTCTGTCTCCAGTGTGTGCATGTTCCAGCAGCATGAGGAATTTTTATGGCTTTCCTCAGACACAGGCCAATCAGAGAAACAAGAAGGGGGTCAGCTTTGATTATTAAAAGGCACGGCAGGCCACTTTTGTATTTTGGTAATGGTGGCACTTCATACATCCATTCGCCAGTAATAGTGGGCTATACAAACGAACTGTTCAATAAAACTCTAATGAGGAAGCCAAATATTTTCTGCTTTATTTTTCTACTTAGGTTAAAATTAAGGGGGAAAATTATAACAATGTTGATTCTTTTGATTGAAGGAAGATTCTATGGTCAAATTACTCTCAGGTAAAAATGAACTTTGGGTGGAATTAGGTGCTAAAAAATGGTACAGGAAGCTTTGTAAATGAGCTGCAATTTCTTTTTTCATGGAGAAGGTTTGATACAAACAATAATATTTTTATATGCCCAGGGACCCAGTGAATTTCAGGTATAAACTTTCTCTAATGCATTCTGCCCTCAGCATGGGTCTCTCCAGGCTGTTGGAATTCCAACTTTAAACAAAGTGCCCATGGCTGCCATTTCCTTTCCCACCCCCCATGCTGTTAGTACTTCACCATTCCCCCCTTGTTTACTTTAAGCTTCTGTGTGCGTGCAGCTACACCGCTGGCCTGAATCATGGCAATAAATATTGGGATATCTCCCAAGGGACTTCCTTTTCCTCCAGCAATACTGATTCCAAGGGCATCACTGAGCTCCTAGAAAAGAAGCGAAACACAACACATATTTAATAAAGAGCTGCATCCCGACTGGCCTATGAGAGCTGCTGAACAAAACACTCAGTGCTGCAGGAGGTCAGGGCAGCACAGGACTTAAAGTGCAGGGCCTTTGGAGTCAGAAAGACCCGGGTTTCAGCTCTAACACTCTAGCTGGGGAGTCCTCAGTAAGTTCCTTAGCCTCTTAGAGCTTCCATTTCTAGGCAGAAAATTAGAAGAATATCACCTACTTTACAGTGTCGGTTTGAGGATTAAATGAGACGATATAGTGCAGTCCTAGCCTACAAAAACAGGCTCAATAAAAGGCAACAGTAAGGGCCCTGGCTGGGTAGGTCAGTTGGTTAGGGTGTTATCCAGATACTCCAAGTTGCTGGTTCAGGTTCGATCCCGGGTCAGAGCACATTCAAGAATCAACCAATGAATGCAGTGGAGCAACAAATTGATGCTTCTCTAGCTCCCCTCCCCCCTCTTCTCTAAAATCAACATAAATTTTAATTAAAAAAAGGCAATAGTAGCCTGGCCAGTGTGGCTCAGTGATTAAGAGTTCTCCCATGGACCAACAGGTCCCCAGTTTGATTTCTGGTCAGGGAATATGCCTGGGTTTTGGCATTGATCTCCAGTAAGGATTGTGCAGGAAGCAGCTGATAGATATTTCTCTATCTCCCTCTTTATCAAAAAATAAAAACACACATATTTATTTAAAAAAAAGGCAGTAGTAGACTTGGCTAGTTTGCCCAGTGGTTGGAGCATTGGCCCTTTCTCTTTCCTTCTTGTTGTAGAATTTTCAGTCAGTCGACTACCTGTACTCTGGGCAATGTCCACTCTACATTTTAGTTGTATTCCATTGAAATTGTTGTGTGCTGCTGCGGTTAGATGTCTACCCGAGCAGCCATCTTGGATCCTCCCCGCATTGGCCCCTGAACTGAAGGGTCTTGGGCTCGATTCCTGGTCAAGGGCACATGTTTTGGTTGTGGGTTTGTTCTCTCTCTCTCCCTCTCTCTCTTTCTCTCTCGATCAATTGAAAAAATATCCTCAGATGAGGATTAAAATAAATAGTTTATTAAAAAAAAAAAAAAAGGCAATAGTAGTTGTGAAAAACAAAACCTATGTTACCGCTCAGTTTAGTGGCCAATTTTGATGCAACTTGGCAAGTATGTTCTCATATGGTGTTTATAATTAAACTGTCACACATATCATGCTCTTGGGGGTGTGAACAAACATACTTGGCTCTGAAAGAGCCGCACAACTGCGTTCAAAGGATGTTAGAGGACACTAACTATAATGACAACAGAGTTCGAAGAGAGAATTAAATGTGACAGGAAACGCTCCCTAAGATATTAGGTGAGGCAATATGGTTTACTCGGACTCCACTGAACAGATCCTGGCTTCAGTTCAGATTTCCCCCATATTTCTCTAATAGGGTTAGTATTTTATTTATTTATTTTTTTATTTTTTTTTTTTTTAAATATTTTATTGATTTCTTACAGAAAGGAAGGGAGAGAGATAGAGAGCTAGAAATGTCAACGAGAGAGAAACATCGACCAGCTGCCTCTTGCACACCCCCTACCGGGGATGTGCCCGCAACCAATGTACATGCCCTTGACCGGAATCGAACCTGGGACCTTTCAGTCCGCAGACCGACGCTCTACCACTGAGCCAAACCGGCTTTGGCATCTAATAGGGTTAGTATTTTAAAAATTACTAAAGGAAAAAATGACAAGTTCCAGATTCAGCATGATGGCATACACATGATAGCACCTCTCTCCTGCTGATTAAAATGGAAAACATGTCAAAATAACAAAACACAACTACCGGGGCTTCTGAAAAGTAAAGAAACTCAAAATGTGGTGGAAAATAAAAACTTGGAGAAATGACAGCAGGGATGAAGGCCCCTGGTCCTAAATGTTTTCCTGGTGGTGCTGTACTGAGGGCCGTGACCCAGGTAAGGAGCTGTAGAAATGGTACACACGGCTAATATTCAAAGAGAAACTTTCATCTTTATGGTCAGAAGAACCAGGAAATGTGGCCCCTGGTGGCATGAGAATAAAAGAAGAAAACTTGAGTAAAGGGAGACAGAGGAGGGATCCTCTAATGCTCAGTGAATCTGTGGAATTCTCAGGCCCAGGTGTGAAATAGACCCAAACTACAAAATGGAACCACCATGCACAAAAGGGAAGATGGGATTTGTAGTCTCAACCTAACCGGGTGACTGCATCTTGTCCACACAGCATAACATCCATGGGGTCCAGGGTAAAATCCTATATTACTCGACATGCAAAAAACCCCCAGAAAAATGTGACCAATCTACACTAATAAAAAGAGAAACATGCAAATTGATCATACCTCCGTTATGCCCACAAGCCAATCAGGTGCGAGTATGCAAATTAAACCAACCCAGATGGTTGCAGCTACAGAGTGAGCAGGAGGCTTGGGTTTCCATGGTGATGGAGGAAGCTAAGCTTCCTGGTTGGCCCTGGCCTCCACTCAAGGGTACAAAGTTTCAATTATAGAAGATAAATAAATCCCAACAAAAATGGTGGTGGCCACTGAGCAGAAGCAAGTAGGAGGCTTGGGTTTCCCCTGGCGATGGAGGAAGTCAAGCTTCTTGGGCAGCCCTGGCCCTTGCTCAAGGCTACAAAGTTTCAATTATAGAAAATAAATAAATCCCAGATATCAGGGCCTCCACTTGGGTCGCTGGTAGGCATGGCCGGCCTGAAAACCACCACAGGCCCCTCGCCCAGCTGCCCCAAGGGAACTCCCACTCTGATCCAAAACACGCTTCAGGACAAACCATCTGGTCCTCACCCATACATCAGGCATCTATCCTATCTAATAGAGTAATATGCAAATTGACTGTCACTCCAACACACAAGATGGCTGCCTCCATGTTGTCAAAGCTGGCTGCCCCCATGTGAACACAAGATGACCACCACAAGATGGCCAGCAAGGGAGGACCATTGGGAGAGACCAGGCCTGCAAGGGAGGGCAGTTGAGAGAAACCAGGCCTGCAAGGGAGGGCAGTTGGGGGCGATCAAGCCTGCAGGGGAGGGCAGTTAGGGGTGACCAGGCTGGCAGAGGAGGAAAGTTGGGGGCAACTGGGCCTACAGGGAAGGGCAGTTGGGGGGAACCCAAGCCTACAGAGGAGAGCAGTTGGGGGGAATCACCCTGAAGGGGAAGGCAGTTAGGGGTGACCAGGCCAGCAAAGGAGGGCAGTAAGGGTCAACCAGGCTGGCAGGGAATAGTTAGACATCAATCAGGCTCTCAGTGGAGTGGTTAGGGAGTGATCAGACTAGTAGGCAGAAGCAGTTAGGGGCAATCAGGAAGGCAGGCAGATGAGCAGTTGGGAGCCAGCAGTCCTGTATTTTGAGAGGGCAGTCGGACAGCTCTCAGGGGTCCCAGATTGGAGAGGGTACAGACTGGGCTGAGAGACACACCCCCTTCCCCGCCACATGAATTTTGTGCACCAAATTTTAAGAAATTATTGATTGATTTTAGGGAGAGAGAGAGAAAGGGAGGGGGGAAAGAGAGAGAAACATCAACATGTTCTAATTTATGTGTTCATTGGTTGACTCATACATGTGCCCTGGCCTTGGTGTATTGGGATGGTACTCTAACTAAGCCACCTGGCTAGGGCTTGTTTTTTCTTTTTCAATTTTGGTTTTATTTAGTAATTTTGTAAAAGCTTTTAAAAATTGATTTTTGAGAGAGAGGAAGGGAGAGGGAGAGAGAGAAACACTGATTTGTTGTTCGAGTTATTTATGAATTCATTGGTTATGTGCCCTGACCGGAGATTGCATCCATAACCTTGGCATATCCAGATGACCTTCTAACCAACTGAGCTACCTAGCCAGGACAATATTTTTTCTTTAGATCATTAAAATATGTAGAAAATTTGAAAGCAAAAATTATCACATTATTTGGTGGGGTTCTCAGATTATGTAAATGTAAGCATATGACAACTATGGCAGAAAGGTTGTGGTAAAGGGACCTGCATGGTCGCAAAGCTTCTACAGTTTTCATTGATCATCTGAAAACATACACAGCTTAGGGTGCTTCGATTTGACCTCAGTAAATTTGGAAAAAGGAAAAAGAACAAAATGACAACAAAAGCCATATAAAGAAAAAAGCCATATAAAGAAAAAAGACAGAAACATCGATGATGAGAAACATTGATTCATTGCTTCCTGCACCCCTTCCTTGATCCCCTCATGGGCATGTGCCCTAACCAGGGCATGTGCCCTAACCAGGAATCAGGTATTGAATGTTTTAAAAAGTCTTGAGATATACTTATTGAAAATCACTGCAAATACTGTCAAAAAATACTTATTGCATGGCGAAAAGGTCTTGGTTTAAAGTTAAAAAAAAAAAATCTACCAAAACAATGCCATTTTTTTTTTGTTTTGCAAAGCTTTTAAGTACATGCACAAAATGTAGTGGATGTGATGTACCAAAAAATTCAGTTGTCGGCTATGTGTTTTACCATATTTTTCTAAGTTTGTTTGTCTTACACAGACCACATATTTATTCAGTAACTTAAAGGAGCACACTAATAATCCAACCAACTGTATTAAGGGGAAAATAGACATTTTATGCAAATCCAACACAAACCAGGAAAACAGCAAAATTACAGACTTACCCTGATTATCTCAACGGTCCTTGGTCCCACATCTGTGCCTATCAATAAAGAAGCAACAAAATTAACTTTTTTTTAAAACTTTATTTTTAATTTTAATTTTATTTGTTTGTTAATGCTTACCTGAGGATATTTTCCCATTGGTTTTTAGGGAGAATGGAAGAGAGAGGGAAAGACAGAGAGAAACATTAATGTGAGAGAAACACATCGGTTGGTTGCCTCCTGCACAAGCCCCAACCAGGGCCTGGGATTGGGGAAGAGCCTGCAACCAAGGTACATGCCCTTCACTGAAATTGAACATGGGCCCTTTAGTCCTCAGTCAGACCAGTTAGGGCACAATTAACTTCTACCATTAAGAGATAATATATGTAGGATATAAAATTATCTCGTGAAAAGTGTCATTTTCTAGGCCTTTCAAGAGAGAATACTGAAACAAACAGGCATTATAACCTTACTCGAAATCCAAATCGGCAGCATTGACCAGGGGCTGTCTTCTATTATGTGGCCATAATCATTTGGTCTGACAGAAGCTGATGGACTGTAGCAGTAGCTGCCTGAAATATAGTGATTAAATGGCTTGGAAGATGAGTCATTTGTTTTACTGTATTTTTTTCTGACTTAAAGGAACCATCTATCCAAGGTAAGAATTAAGAAGACCTTTGCCCTAACCCACCTCACTGGCATATGTACCTCTGACCTTTCTTGAGTGACTAATAATTTAAAAAAATTTTTTTTTTTTTTTTTTAGCCAGGCTGGAGTGGCTCAGTGGTTGAGCATCCATCCATGTACCAAGAGGTCTCTGGTTCGATTCCTGGTTAGGGCACATGCACTGGTTGTGGGCTTGATCCCCAGTAGGGGGCGTGCAGGAAGCAATCAATCATTGTTTCTCACAATTGATGTTTCTATCTCTTTTTCTCTCTCTAAAATCAATAACAAAACCACTAAAATAGAAGTTTTACAGTTTTTTTTTTTTTTTCTCTTTGTAAATGATTTTACTTTAGGAAACACTTTAGGTTTCTGCTTTTCCACTTTTCATATGATCGGTGTAAAGTTCAAGGCATAGTCCAGAAATGAGTCTCTAAGGCTTTATTTCCTTTAAAATAGGCCTTTCCGAAAGCTTGGGGTTTATGTGGCCAAGTACAAAGATTTAAAAATATTTTAGTTAAAGATGAAAAATTAAAAAAAAAAAAATTAATATTTAAAAAAAATTGGGTAACAGAATGTTTTGCTGGAGGCGTGTTCACAAAATACCTGAATTTCTGGGGGTTGGATCGGAAGCCTTCTTTGTGCCGACCAGGCTCTGCAGGCTGGAGATGACAGGAGCCAGGGCAGGGTGGAAGCTGCTGTGTGTGCTATGCTGACTCCCCTGCGAAGGAAACCAGAGGTGAGCTGTGCTGGAACATGCACTTTAGCCTTATTAATTAGTGTTTCAATTACTGAAGTAACCATAATCATGTAACTGAAAATTCTGGAGACTAAAAAAAAAAAAAAAAAAATAGCAAAAATTACCCATACTTGCTCTTTTACCACCTTAGTACAACCCCATCTAACATTTTCTTCATTATATGTGCTTTCCTATATGTTTCAATCAATGAGGAAAATATAATTTAAGCTTTTCTTCCTCAACATAAAATAAAAAACATTTTCCTAAGCTGCGATGCAATATTTATATATGATCAGTTAATGGCACGATGTGTTAGTTGGGGCTGGAGTCAATATTGATTTCCTTATCACCCAAAGGACATGATCTATTTTGCTAAAACCAGCATAATAAAACCTTGAATAATAGAAATTTGACCAAATGGAATTCTCAACTGTAGAAGAAACCAGCAAATATCCTAGGAATACGTTGTTTTAAGTAATATGTTAAATTTGTTTTTCTCAAAGATTTTTCTAAGGTCAGGAATAATTCAGCTCAATCTGCTATGTCTCCACTACTGCCCTCATAGCCAGCTAACTAAATATTTGAGCTCTACAATGTATAATCATGAATGGCTAGTGGCTATTCAATGAAAATTATATACACAGTCAAGGGCCTTTTCAATGAGGAACCCAATGTCACCAATAACAAGTAAATAATTTTTCCCTCAGATTATCCAGGTTGTGCCCAATGGCCTAAAAAATTTAAATCAAACCAAAATTTTAAATCACCTAATGAATGATAATTTAAACCACTTCTTAGTTCTATGATGCAAGTTGTTTAATGTTTTAACACTCTTTAAATATGAAGAACTTCAAATCTAAGAAAAGTTAAAAGTAGGCATCCATATACACACCTAAATTCCACAATTAATGTCTTATGTAATAAAAGGGTAATATGCAAATTGACCCCAACGGCAGAACCACCTGGCTGCCCCCGTGGTCAGTGTGCTTCCACGGGGGGAGCACTGCTCAGCCAGAAGCTGGCTCAAGGCTGGCCAGCAGAGTGGCGGTGGCAAAGCCTCACCTGCCTCTGCAGCAGCACTAAGGATGTCTGACTAACAGCGTAGGCCCGCTCGTTTCCCGGCTGCCAGAAGGATGTCTGACTACCAGCTTAGGCCCGATTTCCTGGGGAACGAGCCTCAGTCAGGAAGTGAATATCCCCTGAGGGGTCCCGGACTGCAGGAGGGCACAGGCTGGGCTGAGGGACCCTCAAGTGCATGAATTTTTGTGCACTGGGCTTCTAGTTTTGATATATTGTCCTTTCCCCATATCCATTCACCTATTCATCACTCAATTTGTCTTTTTTTTTTTTAAAAGTTCATTTCAAAATAAATTATAGACATTAGCATACTTCACAATGAATACTAGTATATATAAAGGAGTATTTTTATATTTTCCTGAAAAGATATGATTTAAATCAATGGTAATAAATAATACTTAGAATTGAGTAAGTACAACATATAACTTTTGCCTAAAAAAAGTGCTTTCTAAGGCCTTTATAAATATGGACTTTTCCTGGCAGTGTTCCCTCGGGTATCTGAGGAAAATATTTCTCTTTTCCATTACACACTTTCTTCCACAGAATAGATACTTTTTTCTGGTTTGTGGGAAAAGACAGTTTATTTTATTTCATCTTATTTTTTAACCCTCACCTGAGAGAGGGAGAGAGAAACATCAATTGATTTCCTTCCATATGCACCCCAACCAGGGATTGAACCTGAAAACGTAGGTGTGTGCCCTGATTGGGAATTGAAACTGTAGTCCTTGCAGGGGTATGGGATGATGTTCCAACTAACTGAGCCATAAGTCCAGGGGGGAAAAGACATTTTTTTAAAAAGTGGCTTGGTGGCTCTAAGGCTAGATCTCTCTTAATGAACCCACTTTCTCTAGGCCACGTTAACAAGCTAAAATTCTCCGTGGCCCTCAAACCAAGGTCTCTATCATCCTAGCTTATAATTTCCCAGAAAGAAATCTGTTCTCCTAGAGGGTCCTGGACCTACAGATAAAAATGTTTGGGATCTTCTTTTTCTCCATCTGGATCATGGTCTGGTCTTGTACTTATGATGAAGGATGCTTCCTTTTCACAGTCAAGCCTTCTTCCAATTAGCCAAATACCAGTGCAAACTCTCACATAATCTCAGCCATAATTTTATGGACAAAGTAAGGATAAACTACATTTACTGTTGTTTTTTTTCTTCTTAAGACTGAATTAAACTTCTACCCATTGAAATAAAACTCTGTGCAAGAAGGTTAGATAGATATATTTGATACATTGTTCCAGGTTTCCAAACTATGACAGCTCACATTTATAGACTAGATAAATGGTAATGGTGGTTGCCATTTAATGATAGAGCTTCTAAATTTGCTTGTTCTGTAGTTAACCTGAGTGTGAACCTTATCAATCACTAAGACACTCATACACATTCCTCATGGACAGAAACTCAGTTCTACCTACCACCTCACCCGTTAGTCCAAACTTTTCTTAAAACTGGAATTCCTTGTACCCTTTGTGCCTTTGCATACGCTACTCCTTCTATCTGAGATGCCTTCTCCCTCTTTTCAGCCTAAGAAACTCCTTTCAGAGTGAGACCCGAGGGACCCTCTTTGTAGCTCTCATGTACGCCCCAGAAAGAAACATTTCATCTCCGGTATTGTTCATTCTGCATTCTAACCCTTTGTATAATGAGGCTTTAAAGAAATCACTCAACAAATGAATCTTTCATTATGAAGAGCTGAGACAACTATTTTTTGCATCTCAAGTTCCCACTGTTGATACAAATCAGGCCAGAACCATCACCAGCCATTCACTCCTGGAATCCTACTGCAGCACTGTGTATTTTAGGACACGTGGTATTTGCTAGGCCAGAAAAAAAAAAAAAAAAAAAAAAAGTTCTAAACTTAACATGATGTTATTGGGTTAGACTGCTTGGAGGATTCTTTTAGACAAGCCAGCTAGTCTGTGATATTCTCTGAACAACAGTATTTTTCTTCACCCATTTTCTAACACCAGTGAGGCAAAGGAGGCAGCTAACAGCATTTCGGAAGCACATGTGTGCTAATCACAAAATCCAAGTCTTCAGAACAAAGGTCCTGGACAGGCTTTAAGTCTAAAGCAACCAGGGAGGGGACCAGAAGTCATGCTTTTAACCTCAAAACAAAGGCCCATCTATAACCCACTAAGGGGCCTTGGGGGTAACATGTAAGTTTCTATAGTTTTATTATATGCCAAAGGGACTAAAAAATAATCTGCTATCTTAATTTTTTTTCAGCCATTACAATGAAAAAACAAACAAACAAACAAACAACAAAACAACCACAAAAAAACAACCACAGTGAAATATACTTCGTTTTTTTAAAAAAGTGGCACTTACATCAGTCTTGTCAATAAACAGAGGATGTTTGCTAACCCACAAAATGTCACCCATTAAGGCCTCCTTCCCACAGGAGAACCCTCACATTTCAGTCTCTTAGGAATATGCCATTAATTGCCCTCAGCATGTGTGAGTGGCTATTCACAAGTTAACTTTATAGCAATATTTAATTGAATGAATAGAACAATGTTGTGCTAATGAGGGTCAAATTGCCACCAGATGTTGCTTCTTCTTTTTTTTTAACTAAACACAGCTGTGTTACATGCGTGCATAGGCAATACAGAACTAATAGTGGGGGAGAAAAGTAGACCTAAGAAAACATTTGCACGCAATAGGAAGAAAAACCTAGGGATTAATGAATTTCCACCCCATCTATCATTTTTTACTTCAAGCACATACAAATGCACTGAACTTGGTATTGCGAATATGCTGTACTACATATTATTGTAATACTGCACATGACACGGTACTTCCCCACTATGAAATGGGAAGCCTTCTCTCAAAGGGGACAGGTGAGTGTGCCGGTCTGACGGGAAGCCATCAACCACCTGGCTGTTCTGTGATGTCTTCCTCGAGGAAGCCCAGGAACCAGCTCGGAGTCTTCCAATCTCCAGCTGCACCAGCCCCTGCGCACACTTGGGGACACAAGAAAAGGACAGAAGTGAAAACCAGTAGCATTTCCGTCCTAAATTATCATGGCAGAGTCTCCATGCATCTCTGCAACCAACACCTGTAAGTGGGTGATGAAGGCAATAGGACAAAAGGAAATTCAGTAATCAAAAGAATCACACCAAATAACACAAGTTTATCAACTCATTGGTATTCCTCTCAGGATTTCATGACTTCTTTAAATGTGCTAAAAGGGTTACACTTCAATGTGCCTCTCTTCTCTTGTAACAAAAGGGTCTGTGAGCAATGAAATAACTAGGCAAAAGGGGTGAAAAGGAAGAGAAAACAAAGGTGGAGGTAATCCACAAATACAAATCCTCTTGAGAAATCATGGACAGTAGACTACTTCCCTCCCTCCCTCCCTCCCTCCCTCCCTCCCTCCCTCCCTCCCTCCCTCCCTCCCTCCCTCCCTCCCTCCCTCCTTCCCCCCCTCCCTCCCTTCCTCAGTTTTCTTTTAAAGCTATTCCTGGTTGGTTAAAGTAATCAGAGTTTAAATAGCTAGTAAAAAGGAAAATCACCATAATATTCAACCCATGTGATAACCACACTTGATTAGTCCAGCTTCCACTGGACTTCAGTTGTGAGCTAGGCAGGAAGCAGCCCAGGGACTCACCTTGAGGATGGTGGCCACTGTCTCCTGTGAGGCATTTCTCATGTCTTCCCCATTCACAGATAAGATCTGATCTCCCTGAATCAATCTCCCATCAAGGTCTGCGGCTCCACCTTTCACGATGTCAGAAATAAACACTCCATTTCCATTTCTGTGAATACCATAAAGCAGTGGGTATTTGCACATCTGAATATTCCTTTATTAAATTTGAGATTACTAACATGCTATATTGATTCACCAAGTCCTAAAGCTTGGAAGAAGGGCCCTACAAAGCCATCATATCCAGTGATAAACCTCAGAGTGCTCACCCTTTAAACCGATTATGTCAATTTGTGCTGCCTATTGTAATGTTCACTTTTATTATAGGCTCAAGGGCATAATTTCTGCAAGAGGATAATTTCAGTGAAATGAAATGGAAATTAACTTAAAAAAGTAGAGTTCAGTATTCTTAAAACGTTATTTCCTTAGAAAGATCAGTTCAATTATTAGCATCCAATCTATTTCTAAACTCTCATACATGCCTTTCTAGACAATATATTTCGAGGTTTTATTTATATTTATTTGATGAATAAATAAGTAGATGTTTCAAAATTCAAGAAGTTAAAAAGGGCTGACCTTAAAAAGTTTCCCTCTCACCTCTATTCCCTAGTCACTAAGTACCCTTCTTATAGGGAACCAATGCTACCATTTCTTGGGTATCTCCCGGAGACTTGCACATACATTCTTTTTACCTACAGTTTTGTTTTCTTTAAAATTGCTTTTTTTTTTTTTTTTTTTTTTTTTTTTTTTTTTTACTGAATACACCTTGGCAATTGATCTTTATTGGCACTTTGTGTTTCCTCATTGGATTTTATGACTGCATATTATTCTATGAATGTTCCTTAATTTCACTTATCAGTACACTATGGATATATACATAGGTCATTATCATTCTTTAGCTGTTGCAAACAAGGTGCAACAAATAACATAACTACAAGCATATAAGTAGGATAAATTCCTAGTTGTGGAATTGCTAGTCAAAGAATTATGAATTTTGAGAGCTTATATATCTGAGCCTTTCCAATGGAACTTTTTGTGCTAAGGAATGTAAGTGTTCCTTTAAAAATTCAATCTGAAATACTGGTGTTGTATGACAATTATTTCATCAATTTGCTATGAGATAATAACTTAAAAACATTACTCTTAGTGGAACTTCCCAAGTCCATGTACATGTCACAACAAGAAAGCAAACTTCAACATGGATTCTAGTTGTTCTGCACCCACAAGTGCACTCATTTTGTTTAGATATACAAATCTCAGCTTTTGTTTTGTTCTGTAATGCATTTTTAGAGCAATAGTCTTAATGGTTCTGAAGTAAAAAATGTGATTATAAAAGCACAGTACCTGGCACAAAATCAGTTCCCAGAAATAGTAGTTAATATATATTTTTTAATATATATATTTTTATTGATTTTTAACAGAGAGGAAGGGGGAGGGATAGAGAGTTAGAAACATCGATGAGAGAGAAACATCGATTAGCTGCCTCCTGCACACCCCCTACTGGAGTTGTGCCCTCAACCAAGGTACATGCCCTTGACCAGAACCGAACCCGGGACCTTTCAGTCCACAGGCTGACACTCTATCCACTGAGCCAAACCAGTTTCGGCAGTAGTTAATATTTTTATTTTAATAGTAGCTTAGCCTATTGGAAAAAAGCACGAGGCAAGTCATCAAAGATCTATGAGGGCATGTGACATTATATATACTATACTTCTGGTGTAAGCTATTGGGGACATCTTTCTTAACTATTGTCATGAAGAATTTGTGTCCCTCAATATGTCTGCTCAGCTAGTTTTAGTAACTCCTCAACTAGTGTTAGTAACATAGTATGAAATTAACATGGCAGAGTAATTTTCTTCACCCAAGATTGCATAAATTTCTCTCTTGGTATTAGCTGCTTCTTGGGTATCATTGTTTTAATTAACCCCTGCAAGCTTGAGATCTAAGTGACTATAAATTGAAAGAAACATGCTAACTGTTCATACTTGATAAGGGCGTAAGCCTGACAGTCTGGTTGATTGAGGTTAGAATTTTCTCCTTGCTATGACATTTTTTGGCAGTAAGATCTTGCTCAGAAATATGACCTACATTGTTCAAGTATTCATAAATATGTTAATTTTAGAAATCATATCAGTTTATACTAGGTTTTATCTTTCAGTTTTTTTTAAAAAAAATTGATTTCAGAGAAGAAGGGAGAGGAAGAGAGAGATAGAAACATCAATACTCAGAGTGAATCATTGATTGCCTGCCTCCTGCACATCCTCTACTGGGGATCGAGTCCGTGCATATACCCTTGATTGGAATTGAACCTGGGACCCTTGAGTCCACAGACTGACACTCTATCCACTGAGCCAAACGGGTGTCTTTCAGTGTTGATAGGCATTAGTCCCTAGAACTCTGAAGGAAAGAAGCCAATCATTCCTAACCTGGATAGCTTTATTTTTTTTTTACCGTTTCCCAACGATGCTCAGGCCCAGTCCTCTGCCAGCCTTCTTCTGCAGATCCACATGGAAAAACTCCAAGTTCTCCTCGTCTCTGTAGTGTGTCTCATCTCTATACACCACCAGTCGCACCTTCTGGGGGGTGTGCCTCAGGGCTGTGATGGCTTCTTCATGGCTGGCATTCCTCAGGTCAACCCCATTAACCTGGAACAACAGGCATCCAAGATGAGTTGGTGACAACAGAGGCCTCTCACCCTGCTGGAGCACCTTGATTCAACCAGTGAAAAAAACACTAGAAATTTCTATCCATTCTTAAAGCACACCAGTAGCAGTCATAGCTGCTTCAAATATAAAGGAGGTGGGTTATATATACTCCCCCAACCCAAAATAAGCATGGAGGGTGGGTTAGTATACATGATCATGCAATTTTGCATAGCTGTGAACTTTACCATGGAAGACAAAGAGAGAGAGAGAGAGAGAGAGAGAGAGAGAGAGAGAGAGAGAGAGAGAGAGAGAGAATGAACTTTTTTTTTTTGAACGGACTCATTTAACTAAGGTCAAAGGGAAATTAATGTAAATAAATATTAGTGTTTGGTCAGCATTTAAAAAAAATCATATGCTTGAATTGATTTTTTATTATTTTTATTATTTTTATTATTTATTTATTTATTTATTTATTTATTTATTTATTTATTTATTAGAGTGAGAAAGGAAAGGAGGGTATGTGCCCTGACTGGGAATCAAACCCAGGGATCTTTCAGTGCCTTTCAGTGTATGGATCGATACTTAACCAACTGAGCCACACCAGCCAAAGCGGTCAGTGCTTTTAGACTCAGTTTCCTTGCTGAATTCGACTTTCTCACTTTTAATGCTGAGTCACATGTACTTTAGAACAGGCTGGAGGAAACGAGGGACCAGTATTTTCAACAGCATCTAAGACCTGCTGAAGTCCATTCATTTGAATCTGGATCTGAGTGAGCACAGATATGACCACACGGGAGACAGCAAATAGTGCTGAGTAAGCCTACTTCTGGCAAAAGTCATGGAACCTCTGTTTCCTTGTCCACTAAATGGAGATCACCGCTAACTTATTTTTTACTTAACAAATACTTATGTGATACTTGTATAGTAGCCCTTCATGAATACTTACTCTTTTTAATCCTTATACTAACTTACTGAAATAAACATTACCATATTACAGATGAGGAAACTAAGGCATGGAGAGATTAAGCGACTTGACCAAGCTTGCAGAGTGAGCAGGTGGAGGAGCCAAAATTTAAAACAAACTATTTTTCTGGACTATCTTTAGTTTATATACGAATACTGCCTCAAAATTTACTCTTAGAATGGGTTACTGGAGCCCCTTGCCACAGAGAAAGCCAAGGGCTGATGTTGGTTAGTGAATTTGACACAAGGGAGGAATTGAAAAGCAGAAAAGCTCAGGATTCAAAGGAAGAGAGTCATGGCCTCTCCCTGAAGGTCTCAGTTAAGGAAGAGTGAAACACAGGGAAGGATGGACCCAGGCCACACATGGCCAGGAAGATGGCAAAATGGAAGAGTTACCTCACGATGTTGGTTCCACCCGTGTTCTCGTCCAGAGATCGCCAACCTTTTGGGCCTCATGGACTACCAGTGGTCCGCAGACCACCAGATGGTGACCATTGCTCCAAATGTTTCTTAAATCAGTGGTCGCCAACCTTTCGGACCTCAGGGACCACCAGTGGTCCGCGGCCCACCAGTTGGCAATGGCTGTAATCTGGTCCATCCCTGTGTAACCTGGGCAGGTCACGTCTACCTATGGACCTCTATTCCTTCATTTGTACAGTGAGGGGCTGGTCTGAGGCTTTTCCAATTCTAACATTCCCAAGACTAAGGACTCTTGTCAGAAAGAATGGTGACAAAAAAGGGAGAAAAGAGAAATACGCCCCTTTCAGAAAAGGTGAATTTTGAGCTGTTACTTTAAGCTGATTCTGTCAGCCAAGAAAATGTTTAAAAGCCTAAGTTTCAAGCTACTATTTCTTTCCTGGTATATCTGGTACTTAGATGAACTCTACCCGGATTGATAGTGGCTAAGCATGGGTTTTGGATATAGCTGGACTTCAGTTTGAGTGCTGATTCCAACTTATTATGTGGAACCTTATGTAAATTACTCAGCAGTGTTATCTATGAATTGGAGATAATAACAATTCTAATATTTGCTCAATGTTGTGTGTTTTAAATGAAACAAATCCTGCAGAGCGTTCAGCACAGGGCTGGATAAGTTCGATACGTTAGAAGCTGACATTTTACAAGGATTTGAGGTAAGGCAATCAGAGCTGTTTTCTCTCAGCACCTGTTATTTTAGGCCCATGAATGCATTCCTGTTATTTTAGGCCCATGAATGCATTCTCATTGTTGAAACAAACCTAAAGAACAAAGGGGAAAGCAATGGCTCTAGAAAATGTGGCCGAGCTGATTATTTCCATGTGTTCCAATAGATGGCACACAAGACCACTTCTGCTACTCAGTTAAAAAAAAAAAAAAAAATCACCTCCATGTATTGAAGAATTCTTTAAGGCCTCTAAAATGCCTTTCGAAGGACCCTAGCAATTAAACTTTTAATTAAAAGCATTGTCATTAAACTCTACTACTACAAAAGCAATTTACACTAAATTCCAGCTTTGAGATGTCTGCTCAAATCAAAGTGATTTGCTCCAAGTTCAGTTTTCATTTCCTCCTCTGCTTATCAAGAGACACCACTAAATGCACACTACTCAGAAGAGAAATATTGCTATGTGGCTGGAATATGGTGGAATGATGTATTACCTTAAGTGCCTTACGGAAGCCCTATATGCATTATTCAGAGCATTGCTTGTAGAGGGATAGGGGTGGTTATGGCAGGGCTCCCTATTTGAGAGGAAGGGCCATCAGAAGCCCCAGTTGTCAATCAATCTATCACATCCCATGGGTAGGATGGGAAGGTGGGAAGGTGGGTGGACCATTGCTTTAGAAGGGAAGAATAATCCTCATTATTTTATTCCACAGGGAAAACCAGGCGTTAGCTCTCTACTCTTTCTGGTCTCACTTGCACAAATAGCAGAGAATAGTGGAAGAAGAGGTAAAGTAAAAAGAAGAAATGACAACCAGAAAGAAGATGGTCCATGCAATCATAGAATCCTAAATCTTGCCATGCAAAAATATTATTTGACTATATCTTTGTAAGCAAAATCTGGCATATCCTATGTTTAACATGAGGATAATATGAAAACCATGGTAGGCCAGCGTCTCGAAATATAGCACACCAAAGCTGCCTGTCTTCTCCCGGCAACCTGCAGCCCAACCTGATCCTGCATTACCGTGCGTCTGCACACAGCAGCTGCAATTGAAACAAATTCAAAAGTGGGGTCAACAGCTAAACGAAGGGAAACATGTTACTTGACCAAACTGAGAGCTAGCTTTCTTTATTTAAAAAAATATAATTTTATTGATTTCATAGAGGAAGAGAGAGAGAAACACCAATGATGAGAATCAGCCATCTCCTGCACCCCCCCCCCCCCCAACTGGGGATCAAGCCTAAAACCTGGGCATGTGCCTGGACCAAAAATCGAACAGTGACCTCATGGTTCATAGGTCTATGCTCACCCATTGAGCCATGCTGGCTGGACAAGAGCTATCTTTCTTTTTATTTTTTTATTTTTATATTTTATTGATTTTGTACAGAGAGGAAGGGAGAGAGATAGAGAGTTAGAAACATCGATGAGAGATAGACATCGATCAGTTGCCTCTTGCACACTCCCTACTGGGGATATGTCCGCAACCAAGGTACATGCCCTTGACCGGAAACGAACCCGGGACCTTTCAGTCCCCAAGCTGACGCTCTATCCATTGAGCCAAACCGATCTTGGCAAGAGCTATCTTTCTTAACAAAATGTATGATGTACTGTTGTGGACTAGATCTTATCCTGGCCATCTTTAATGAAAAGTGTAGACCACTCATCCATATTGGTTACAATAGTTTGGCTAGATGCCAGGAAATAGTTTATTTGACCTCATAAATTCTCCTTTTACTTAATTTTGCTTTTTTTCAGGCCAACCTGTCTTGAGTGTTCACCTGTACGTGAATAGAAGAGAGCAGCTATAGCTGAGGGTCTATTCAATACAATAGATCTGGTTAAAATTTTTATTGAGGTATAAGTGTTGTAAAATAAACAATACATATTTAAAGTATACAATTTATAGTGTGAATTTATATGAATTTATACCTATGCTACCATTGCCATAATCAGGATAATGCCTATATAAGCCATTATAGAATAATCTGCGGGCTTACAATCATATAAGGCATGTATGCATCTGTACTCTTTTGAATATTCAATTTATTCAATTATAAAACTAATTATGGTACAACCTGTTAATTAGAAAATCCAGGGAGAAAAAACAAACAAACAAAAAAAACCCCACCCCCAACTCCTGACCATTACAAAATGGTGTTGTATGCTAACACAGTTAAGCCAATTCCCAAAGAGGCCTCACTTATTTTTCTAACCTCATACACTTGTACCTTAAATGAATGTATTGGGAATACGTCCTAATCCAATGATAAAGCACAGTAAAGGCCTGTAGAGAAATCCTATAACTTGCTCTGAATTTAATTTGCAGTCAGCCTGGCCTCTTTTAACTCCTTCTTGCCTATATATTTTTGCCCTTAATTATATCTCTGGTTTCATCTTGGGAGGCAGACTTGAACCACCAAAGGGAAAAATAAAATGCTATGATGTCATTCATAATGTCATGTATTAAAGTTGCAAAGCAAAAATGCACATGCCCGCCATAAAATGTTAACTATTCAATTAAATTCATCCAATGGAAGAAATAAATGTTGCCTAAAGGTCTCACACCATTGAAAAAGCTCTTTAGTTCCACCTACCAGAACGCCTGGCATTGACTTCCATTCATCCGTCCCCCTTTTCAGACACTGCCTGCCTTGGCACTTTTTAAAAGGCTTTAACGCCTTTGCTAAATGAGAGTCCATTTGAAAGAGGCAAGTTAAGCATTTCAGTTTTTAATAAGTACCATATACCACCTATGGGGAAAAGATTCTACATTTTCACCAACTAGAAAACAAATGTGGCAAGGCATGGTCCTCCCTCTGACTTAAAGATTTATTAGGAATAAGAAAATATTACTTAAAGCTACAGCAAAGTCTTTAAAATGTCAGGTGTACATGTTTATGAATATGCCCTTTTAGGAGGGAATTTAGGAAGGTATAAATAGAGAAGGCAAAAATCTCCAACTTTAATTGTAATACTATATTGTCTCATTTGACATTAAGATTATAGAATCATAAATAGTACTTTACCTTGAATTAAAAAATGTTTTCACAGACAGATTTAGATTTATAATCTGCCATAATTGTAATGATACTTATTCAGTGTGCATTAAAAACAGGAAAAAAAATAAGTACATGTTTTCTTAAATGGGAGCTAAATAATTGAGGATATAGTGGAGTAGAAGATAGCAAATATATAAATTTGATTTTGTGGGTTAAGGTTAGTAAAGAAACCATATGTATTATTACAAAATAAAATTCATAGTCATATACCTCTAATATCTGGTCACCAGCCCAAAGTCTTCCATCTCTGGCTGCTGCTCCTTCCTCATAGACTTCATGTATAACTATAGCATCCTATAAAAAATAAATTCTTATTAATTTTCAACAACCACAAATGCTTCCTTAAACAAACCACCAACCCATAGGCAGCAATCCATACTTGCTATTTGCTAATAATGTGTTATTTTATTTGACCTAAAGATAAACAAAATACAGAGTTATGACATATGCAGAGGTATAATTAATTTTTCCTAAGCTTATTATTTTATTCCTTTAGGCCTGAATTTGCCTAATATTTCAAGTTAAACTTCCCCCATGTGTTTTACTATAAACTCTGAACATTGCTGCTGTGTATGAACTTGAGGTGAACTATGTGTCATTCTTATTTACATTTTATGGTATATTTTGAAACATGGTTTCAGGTATTTATTGGCATTCAAGGATTTGGCATAGATGTGTGGCCTAATGAATGGGGGTTGTCAGGCCTTATTACTTGAGCAATTAAAGAAAAGAACTTAGTGAAATGAACTGGCCCTGGAGAGAGCATGGAGTAGGTGAAAGAGCATTCGTGCCCTTACGTGTAAGACATTTATAGGTTCAAATCCTGACTCTGCCACTGAAATTTTGGGCAAATTAACTCCTGAACTTTGAGTCAGGAATTCTGAGCTATAAAATGAGGACAGTATCTAAGGAGGTAAGCTCTGATTGAGGAAAGGGTTTCATTGTTAATGAATTTAAAAAATAATTTGTATCTTTTCAAATTAATCGTCTTAAATTTTTTATCACCATAAAAATAACATGTAGCTGAAATCGGTTTGGCTCAGTGATAGAGCAGACTGAAGGGTCCCAGGTTCAATTCCAGTCAGGGACATGTATGTTGGTCGAGGGCACATCCCCAGTACAGGGTGTGCAAGAGGCAGCTGGTCAATGTTTCTCTCTCATCGATGTTTCTAGCTCTCTATACCTCTCTTCCTCTCTGTAAAAAATCAATAAAATATATTAAAAAAAATAACATGTACCATAAAGGACTCAAGAAATATCACAGTAAACACTGAAGGGGAACAAAACAGAACAAAACAAAACACGAAGGAGAATGCCTTCCACACCAGGCCCTCAGTGACACTCCCAAGAGACAACCACTGCCAATGGTTTCATCAGGATCCCTCCAGACAATTTACATCTATACAGCCAAAATTTACATATTTTGGGGAAACTATTTTATTTTATTTTTTATTTATTTTTTATTTTTTTTTAATATATATTTTATTGATTTTGTACAGAGAGGAAGGGAGAGAGATAGAGAGTTAGAAACATCGATGAGAGAGAGTCATCGATCAGCTGCCTCTTGCACACCCCCTACTGGGGATATGCCCGCAACCAAGGCACATGCCCCTGACCGGAATCGAACCCGGGACCCCTCAGTCCCCAAGCCGACGCTCTATCCATTGAGCCAAACCAGTCTCGGCTGGGGAAACTATTTTAAAAATATTCAATGGCGTTTTTTCCCTTCATATCGAGCAAGTAGGTAAGCTTTGAGATTTCTTGCCTTGGGTATTTTTTGTGGAGCTGAAAAGGGCATCCACCAGAAGTCCTTGGTTCTTTCTGTTGTTCATAAAACTGACTGAAAAGATGTTGATGAATGGATTATGCTAGGTGTCTTAGAAGACCGCTGGGAGAAGAAAAGAGCTTTTGAGAGGAGACTAGAGAGATCTATGGGTTCTATGAGAAGCGAAAACTGAAGCTTTGCACTGCCTCGTGCCCTTCCATTCCCTGCTTCCCAATCCCCTAGAACACACACAAGGTTCAAGAACCCATAGGCAATCGTCAAGAGGGGTCAGGCTTGAATTATGCTTTAGTTCAGAAGTATGGAGCCTCAGAATTAGAACTACACAGACATTAAGTAAATAAAGAAATAAAATATTCCTTGCAAAAATATAATAAGACAGAAAAAAATTCCAACCAAATATACTCCTTAAAAAAGAAAGGTTTCTACACATTTTTTTTTTTTTAAATCCTCACTCAAGGATTTTTTTCCCCATTGATTTATAGAGAAAGAGAGTGGAAGGGAGGGAAGAACAGGAGAGAGAGAGAGAAAAAAACCATGGACTTGAGAGAGACATATCAATTGGTTGCCTCTCACACAAGCCCCCACTGGGGCTGGGGCACTGCAACAGAGGTATGTGCCCTAGACTGGGAATCGAACCCCAGACCTTTTGGATCTAACCACTAAGCAAAACTGGCCAGGCCTACACAAGTTCTTGACTAGTGAAGCAGCAAAAGAAAATAAGAGGTCTATAACCATATGACCCATCTGGATTCCAAATATCTTCACAATATTAAATAATTCCATTTTATCGCCACACAGGTCTGAAAACATTCTTTATGATAGCAATGAGAGAAGCAGCCCCCAAAAGCCAGGAACGGTTCCTTGATCCAGACAATTTACATTTCAAATCCTGTACCGTAATGGATTTAGACCATTCTTTGTTGTAAATGACTTATGAAATTTCCAGGCCCAGGGAGCATTTACACTGCCAAGAATTTGTTCCTCTGAACTGTTCCAAGGAAGTGGTTTTAAAGAAACTTGCTGGGTCAGTGGCTTGAGGTGATCCCAATAACACTGCTAAGATGACACCAAGAGCCATTTTATGAAAGTAATGCAGGGAGAAACTCACGCAAGCTCCCGGTAATGCCCTATGTTATGTCGATTTTCAGTGTGGTGGTCAAACGCCCAAGGTCACTGGATGGGGAGAATCAGACTGAACTCATACTACACATGGCTTTTACAGAGCTTAATTTTCAGCATAAACCCCTTTGATCTTGGAACATTACAAAAGTCAAATGGGAAATTTCCCTTCATTCATACTTAAAAGGAAGGAAAAGACCCCGTAAAGTTTTTATTCCATAAAAGTAGCCTGAATTCTTATATACTTTCTGGGTGCTTGATGAACTATTATACATAAAATAAATATACTGTTAATAGACTCAAATAAATGCTGAACTCACTGCCAATGATCTGTTTTTGGGCCACGGGTCTTTTTATATGAAAAACTTTCCATTATTTCTTTCCTTTTGTTTGACTACTCTCTTAAAGTTATCAGGGAAAATACAAGAGAACACTAGACACTCTGACTATTGATAGAAAAAGTCTGCATTTCTTACCACGTGCCCTTGTGTGGTTCTGGACAGTTGCATTAACGGGGGGGGGGGGGGGGGGGGAAGGGGGTGAGACAGAGGTAAGAGGAGACTAATAGTTAAATTGGAAAGGGGAGTGATGAATTGAAAAAAACCCACAGATTTTATTTATTCTTCAAAAGTTATATAGTTTATAGGGTAGGACAGAAGAGTAAGAAAGATCTAGATTGGGATATATAAAGCATCTGTTTAATAAGACTACATTAAAATTGTACATCTGGCACCATACACAGATCTTACAATATTATTGATGATATTCCCTCTGCTGAATTCTGCATCCCTGTGACTATTCTGTAACCACCAATCTGCATTTCTCAATCCCTTCACCTCTTTTACCCAGTCCCCCAACCTCACTCCCCTCTGGCCAATGATCAGCTGTTTCTGTTCCTATGAGTCTGTTTCTGTTTTGTTCGTTTGTTTATGTTGTTCTTTAGATTTCACATATAAGTGAAATCGTATGGTATTTGTCTTTCTCTAATTGATTTATTTCACTTAGCATAATATCAGGGCCCACTGAATATAAATGGTGATTGAAAGTATCTAAGAAATTTTACTTCTGGCTTTTGAAAAGTTGTGATTAGGTGAAATAATGGGTCATCATCGAAAGACTGACTTTCATTGTGTTAAATACAAAATTTGGAATTGATGATACACATCTTCTTATCTCCTCACATTCCTTCCTAAATTTTAATGCTCTGAAGCTTTCCCACAAAACTGCTTGTTGGTACAATTCTGAGCACTCTTTCCCCCACTCTCATCCCTTCCTATCTCTGTGCATTTAAATAACATTCATCCACACTGGAAAACTTCAGTGACTCTGTCTACCCACACCAATGCCTTCTAAAACTCATCCATTCTAGTAGTAGTCTAATAACCATCTGCCTGGGGGTGGGTTGCTGGCTTGTGGCTTTAGGGACAAATGATTATGAGGAAGGCCTCTCGGGTCAAACTTCTCAAATCCTGGCCTTGTTCCTTCTGGCCATGGGCCTTGGGAAGCCTGTTAACCTGTCCAGGCTTTAGCATCCTCATTTTCATATGGTTTTAACAATACTACCTACACAAGGTGCCAGCACATTGCCAGGAAGCAGAAACATCTCATTTATTTAACAATATGTATCAAAGATGCTACACACTTCCCATTTGTAGCCATTTACTCCACATAACAACCAAGCGACCTCAGTATTGTTAGTCTCATTTACAACTGGGAAAACAGAGGCTCAGAAGGGTTTAGACTTGACCAAGTCTTTACAGCTTCCAAGTAGGAGAGATTAAATTGAACTTGGGACTGTTTAATGCCAAAGCCTGTGTTCCTGCCACTAGAGCAAGATTCTCATCTGTTTTAAATATTTCATTTTGCACTTGTATAAAAGCTTACTTGGGATTTTCCATATGGCATCAATTCTGTTGAAATATTGTCTCCTCAACTCAATAGCAAAAGCCTTGAGGGCATGAGCTGATCAGTTTATAGAGAGTGAACAGAAAGACGACTTGTGGAAGTGAAAATTGAAGCGTTTGGCTTAATGAGGTGGGGTGATGATCTGTGGATCTCTCTTGCCAGTGTTGGCACATGACTAGGGGTTTGACACAAAGCACAATGGGTAGACCCTCTCCCTACTCCAACCTAGAATCTCTCTCTTTCTCTTCATTCTATCATTTTCCACTCTCCGTCTCTCCTTCTCTTCCTTTCTTTCCTTCTTTCCTCCTGTCCATTTTTTCAGTCTGTGCACCTATAGTATTCATTGAATGATTTTTTTCTACAGGAGTGCTTATAAAACATTAAATACAAGTGATAAAATTATCCTACATAATAAGCACCCAGTGACCGAATGGCAGAAATGACCAGTTGCAATGATGTGCACTGACCACCAGGGGGCAGAGCT